TTTTTTTTTTTTTTTTTTTTTTTTTTTTGAATTTCGAAACTCGTTGCAATGAAGACGAGACGTCAAGCTTCGCACGAAATGACTATATTCAGTAGGAAGAAATTAACAGCAATCAACGGTACATCGACCTTCACGATGATTCGTAATTTGTAACGAAAGAAATTTCGCGCTACTTTGTCGAAATATGCACACGCACGGTACTAGTAGTTCGTCCTTTTTCGTTTTTTTTTTTTTTTTTCTATTTTTCCTTCGTTTATAAATGTTCGCTAACGATTTCGCACGTTCGTACAATGATAAAAGGTGTAATCTGTGTGTTTATAGATATGCGTGTATTTTATTTCTATCTACGACGAGTAACAGCGACGGATGCTTAACGGTATTCGTTTATTCTACTTCCCTTTCTACTCTGTTTAACTGTTTAAGAAATATTCGGCCAACTTGACCTCTTTTGTCCAAAAATCGCGAAACTATCACAAGAAAAGAATGATACACTGCAAATAACAAAAGGTCCTAAATAACTTTACCTCTGGTACCTGAATCATTTATCGTCGGTCGTAGAGAGAAATTCGACTAAACAATTTGTATTTATTCACAAACGAAAAAGACTGCGATCGTAAAAATATCGTACAATCATACTGTCCCTTAGTTCTTCCTAAATCCGATGTTGGATACATAATTTATTAATGTACTGACTTATATACCGAATTATATACATAATTTATTAGTGTACTGACTTCTGAGAAAGAGAGAGAAAGAAAACGAATGTGACAGATTATGAAATATCGAAAAATGTGAGTGTTCACGACACTCGAAGAGATCGTCGAGTGAAAAATGTTTTTAATCAATTTGAACACACTTCGCATCATCTTCGGATTCAATGTCGTGCAAATAATTGAAAACGATATAATATTCTATTCGAAACAGTTTTTTCTACGCTAACGTTGCGTATTATTCGGTGGACATTGAGTCGAAATCATACGACCGACAAAGAAGTCCAAGTCGAAGACACGCAACATGAATGTGCAATTGAAAAATTCCGAGGAAGAAACGCGTTTCATCGATGGAAGCGAATACAGGGGAACTTGGAACACACTGGGCATGGAAGGAATCGGCAAATTCGTTCTGCCGCACAGTTAGTACATACAACTTCTAAGAAGTGCTACAGAAGAATCTCGAATAGACATTACTTTGCACTTTCTTGTATAAATCGTTCGGGAGGAAGAAAGAGGCAAGGGATAAAAGGCGAGACGTAGGGAGGATAAAAAGAAAAAAGTAACCAGTATAGTAGAAAATATCCAGATGGTGAATTGTGTAAATATAAGTATAAAACAAGAAGCAAAAGTGCAGAGAGACTACCGTGCATGTGAGATACGGCACGTATCTTATGTTCTTTGATAGTATCGGGATTCAATTTTGTAAGGTGTGCACGTTAATTCCAATAATTGTGTCTAACAAATAGGTATGTACAGCACATGTACTGGTTTTTGAGCACAACATTGAGCATTTCTCGCGCGTAAGTCGACACGTACCGTTACGCGACCATTTTCGTCGCTTCGTGTTCTAGAGTTTGTACGCGTTTTTCATTTACCCACAGCTTAAGAATCTCAGTCTGAAAATAACATACATTCGCCGTACAAATTTTTACCAACTACACATACGTATACACACATACATTTATTCTTCCTCCTTCTCTCTTCCTCTTTCTTTCTCCTTCTTTCTCTGCCCTCTCTGTCTTTCTCTCTCTCTCTCTCTCTCTCTCTCTCTCT